CCCACAAATGGGTATTTACTCAATGTACCGGGTATTTACCCTTTGGGTATTTACCCACTGCCCATCTCTAGTCATTCTACAAGTCAATATTAGAAATGCCCAAATGGAAATGTCTGTTGAAATTATGATAAGATATCGCAAAATTAATGAACAGATGTTTGGTATATCCCACAATATTCTCCAGTTTGACGATCTAGAACAAATTTTTATTATTTGTAATGACCACCTCTTGGAGGGCATATCGAATTTAATACGGCCCAACATAACGTTTTTACTCGTTATCGTTAATGTTGTAGGGTGCAAATAAACGTTTCCCTTTCTATGGGTTTTGTGTTACGCCCAAAATACATTTCATTTACAATATCGTATATAAATTCCGCCAATTGCAACGTGCAGTTTGAAAACATGCGGTTGTTAGCTGATCTACTGATACATCAGTTTTACAACAATTAATATAACAACAACAATAATAATAGTAATAATACTAATAACAACATCTAGGAAATTGTTACAACTATTTCCGTTAGCACCCACATCGGCGGCCAATTATGAAAGTGATCGGCAATAAATACCGTAGTTGTGAATAAACTGGGAATCGAATCAGAAAACAATAAATATTGATTTACACTGTGAACAACTGATGGTTTCATGTTATAACATCCACGGACCGAAAATGGATGGATATGTGAAAAACTTCCAAGTAATTCTTTGAAATACATACCAACATGTATGTTTGTATGAACAAAAATGTACATATGCCCGATAATTAATAACAAATCTAAAGTGTAATAAATTTGTATTTTTCATCAAAAAAGAAAAAAAGAAAACACAAAAATTCATTTGACAAATGTTCGATACGGGGTGTCCGAAGTGATGAACCAAGCTAATTAAAAAACAATTTTCCCCTTTTTTCGAAATAATTAATTGTCGCCAATTAATGGCAAACAATAAAAACAATTTATGATGAGTGCAGACAGTTTTTTTTTGGCGGCAATTGACTTTGAAAAGAAATTTTGCAGATAAAAGGTAGAGCAATGATAAATATAAGCCTAAATATATGTATTGAAGGGTGTCGTTATTAGAGGAAACTTGCAAGTAAAGTAAATTTTCAATCTATCGATGATCTAATTACATCAAATATTTGTTAAATGTTTAATAAAATTCGAGTTACCATTCTAATCGGAATATACATAACTTCTACATGATCTATAGTTTCTTACCATCTGCAAAATTTAAATTTAAAAAAGTGTGTTCAAAATACCGGAGGTGAGCGGATATACCCTTATTTTAATATCGCATAGGTAGTGTGTATATTCAATTTGTCACTCCGATTATTGTGGGTACCCCCACTGGAGACCATATATAATTCTACCTCCAAATTTCCGGATTCACACACAAAATATTATTAATATTGGCGCAAGTTTCAGGGTAGGCCCCATATAACACTATACCCCATTATTTGGTGTTTTGTAGACTAATTTGATATTTTGTGTTCTGTGCTTGTGCCAGATGTTTCTACTACCAATTACGGTCCATAACCTCCATATAACCGCCCATGTTTTAGATCTAGCCCACATATAAGGGTAACGCTCGAATTGCGGTATTTGATATTTTGTTTTAGTCGTGTTTTTTAACTGAGGAGGCTGAAATTTGTTATTGTGAGTTTTTGGAGCCTGACATACATATATGCAGCAAATAATCAATATAGATCCACGTTCTTCTGGTATAGCCTCCATATAAAGGTCCGCACGGTGTTATCCCCTTTTTCAAAGTGTCTTAATGTGATAAACATATCTGCAGAATATTTTCGGTATAAGTTTATGTCCCACTCCATTTTCGGTATTTCGGAAAGTTTTAAGCTGCATGTTTCAGCCAAAGAGGGTGTATTTTGGCATTCTAGGATCTTGGAGGGCGAAAAATATGTGTGTATAATTTGTTTGATATAGGTCCATGTTTTACAATAATCCCTAGTCCCTGCAAAGATCCCGCTGCAAAGATCCCGCTTAATTTCCGGCGTTCCAGTCCCAGTTTTTCCAACCTATATAAAGGTCCCGACGGATTTAAGGAATGTTGAATGCACACCACGTGGTGGAGGGTACAAAAAGTTTGGTCCGACCGAATGTACGGTATATGCACTTTGATGCGGCAAAAATGTGTCTTATCGAATTATTGGATTTGGACACCATATTTCTTTGGACCAAATCTGTTTCAGATCATTTGGAGTCGATTTACAAATGTTCGTCCGTCTGCCTGTCTGGGCAGCAGGTGCGCACCATAACTCTCGAAGGTTGTAACCGATTTCATTCAAACTTGGATGTGGATTCGGTCCACTTTTTCAGGTACCTCCCCCACAAAATTGTGCTAAAAATTAATTTTATAATATCATGCGAACGGACTGTCCGATTTTAACCCAACTTTATTCAACCTATTATCTTTACCAAGTCTAGATCAAGTCCGAAGATGGGACCCATTGGTCCACTCCTTCTGGTACCTCCCCCACGAATGGTAAATATTTTCAATATTTTAAAATCCAATATCAGGCGAATTCGAATTTTAAATCAAACTTGGCACAACCTATTAACTTTACTAAGCCTAGATCAAGTCCGAAGATGGGTCCCATTGCATCACTCCCTCTGGTACCTCCCTCCATAAATGGTCAACATTTTAAATATTTTTAAATCCAATAACAGCCGAAGGAAATGTTCGAAATCCGGATATTTCTCTCGAATTGCCTCTATTAAAATGCTAGTTAAATTATAGGTATTTCTAGTTATTGACCATACGAATCTTTGGCCGTCACGGTCTGAGTCATATATCTTTTTCTCCTACACCCAGGGTGGTTGGTATTAAAACTCTTTAGTCAACTTTTAACTGTTCCTATCAAAGATTATCAATATCGGTCGTTCTTTCTATATAACCATATATAAAACTTCTCATTGTGTGTCAAATGTTACTACCGAAAATTGTAAATATCGGTCAATGTTTAGGTATAGACCTCATATAAAGGTACCCTCCAATTTTCGGACTTTTGTAGATTTCAGAAATGTGTTTTCATCAGAAAATCGTGTAATTTTAAATTTTTGATTCTCACTGTCAATATCAGTCCATACAATGGTATACCCCAATTTTCGATATTTTGGCGATATCAGGCTATTTTTCACCTGAAGAGGCTGTAATCACTTGTTATGGGTTCTCATTGAGTTTTAACTCTCTTTCTACCAACAATCTAATGATATATACCATATGAACCGACAATTGAGCATTTTGGGTTTTTGATTACTGTAAATTATTTTTTTCCAGATCATTTACAATTTAGGTCTATACATGGGCCTAGATCCCTACCATGGTTCCCAGTCCCCGTTTGAGGTATACTCAAGGTCTTAGATAAATTTTCGAACATCAAAGTTTTTTGTTTGATATTTTGTTTTCCCAGAGAATTAAAAAAAAAAAACATCTGTCATACTATTTATGAAGATATAGCTACGTAGATGGTGAAGGTTTTATAAAAATTCCGCTCCCAGGCGAACAATGGAAGGTTTTACTTGTTTGCCAGTTACATTTGTCACCAAACTCGTCCATGCAAAACACCCATAACAGGTTAACTAAACATTCAAATTGATCGATCGACTTCGTCATGCATAACAATCAAATAAACATATTTCGCAGAATTTCAAAATCCACCATTCTTTGTGAGCGAAGTGCGAAGACGTCAATTTGAATTTGTCCAAATAATTATTCCGTCTCTGACGATATAAAGATTATATTAAGGCACTTTATTTTGATATTTTTTGATTCCAAATAAACACTTTCCTAATGGGCAAGACAAACACTGTTTCGCTTTTTTTCTTTCTTTAAAAATTGAAATGCGACGTTGTTAAATAAAAAATAAAATTAACTTAAATTATTTAATGACTTTTATGTCTTCATTAATATTTATGTGTGTCTGTGTGTGTGAACACATAAATTCAAACCGATCCGATTGATTAACAGAATGAATTTCACAGTAGATTACAATACATTTCTTCCTGGCAAAAAACACGATGATGATTATCTGGGGAAGAAAGAGTAAACAAAAACACCTACACACACGAACACATTGTTGGCAATTAATTCACGTGTTGTCCAGTCCCATTGTGGAGCCTAAAAGAGAGGGAGAGCGATGATAGTTTAACATCTCCTAGATTTCTGGAGAAAAAAAATGCCAAATAGAAAAGACCCAAACTCTTAAGCCTAACACCAATGAGATGTGGTCAAATGAGAATTGTTTGTAAAAGCCTTGTTTTGTTTTTATGTGTATGTATTAGGGCGTGTGTGTGTGTTTGTGTGCACCCAAACAATTGAGTAGCACCGGCCTCTGATACTCAGTGGCTAAGATGTTCTGTGAGAGAAAATCAAACTCATTGATTACCATGAGATGCTTCAGCGAATTCATACACACGCGCACGCACGGACCCATACATAGACACATTATAACAATAACTGAGCTTCATAGATATCCAAACGAATGTTGTGTGCTCAATGTATAAAACCCAGCATGGCCAAATAATCAAAGGCATTTATTCGCAAATTGTCAATACGATCGTTACGAATTTTTGGTGACATCTACGAAAATTGTTGTTTTGTGAAGCAGAAGAAGAAGAAGAAAAGAAAAAATAATAGCGAATCCAAAAAAAGGAATAGAAAATAGAAATTTGAATTTAGAAAAGTGAGCTGAACTCCTGCCGTGAATGTTAGTTGATATTAAAAAAAATATTGTTTTATTATTAAAAAAAAAAAAATAAAATTTATAAATAATAATTAATATTTAAATTTTGTGCTTTAGATTTATTTTTAGAATCTGTAAAGAGTGTGTTAATTGGAGTTTATACAATTAAAACCGAATTTTAATTTAAAATTTGTGTTGCAATTAAAACTGGACAAATGTCCTTTTGTTTGCTAAAGGACTAGCAAACACTAATAATTTAATTTTGTTTTGGTTTTAAATCAAATCTGAATTTTGGATTTGTTTTAAACATTCGCATTTAATTCACGTTAATGAAATACCGGAACAATCGCGGCACAATACTGCAAATACAATTCAGAACATTTTTGGTGAAGAAACAATTTTGGCATAGGAAACGGTGCTTTCAAGACGGTAAGTTCTTCAAAAATTATTCAATTATTGTTTTAATTAATTTTTTGTAATTTATTATTTTTTTGTTATAATATTTTATAATAGTTTTGTTTAATATGTTGTTTACTCCTTCTGGAAAAATAGAGAACACATTTTTTTTAGAACTTTGAAATGAATTTCGTGTAAATGTTTATAACTTGTTTTTTTGTAATCAGAATAAGAGTGTGCGTGTCTGTTTAGAATATTTTAATTATAGAGTATTGAGTTGTAAAATAGTTTACTATTATTATGAATGATTTATTGACATATCTAGAATATTCGGACTCAATTGTTGATCTATGTAATTATTATGCTTTAATTAATAATATTTTATTTCATGTTACACTATGACAAATTAAGATAGAATAAAATCGAATCGATTTTTAATCTATTAAATTTTATACTCTAAAAACGCACTCTAAAATATGTACTTATTAGGAAGTTTTGATTGTCTCAATTTGATATTTTTTTTTGGAATTTCAGATTATTGCCACAATTAAAATTCAGGCCTTTTTTAAAAAATTTTAAAAATTTCTTTGAAATGTAATTAATTTTAAAATACAAAAAAAAAAATCTAATGAGATGCTCGTTTTGGGCATTACCAAATCTTCGAAAAATTTTGTAGATGCTCAACATTGATCTCATCAATATTTAAAGGACCGGAATATAAAACAAGGATGTCAACAAACGCGAAACAACTTTTTAAAATAGTTTATTTTTTAATTCTTCCCCTTATTTGTAATGCTAGAATTTTCAATATATAGTACACTTAACGATATAGTCGAACTATTAACTATATCATCCATTTTACCCTTTTATACGCCTAAAAATAATTTGAAATTTTTAAAGAGTCAAATTTGTTGTAATCCGGTAACTTAGATTCAAAATCCGAAATGCAAAATTACATTTTTTTAATAAATCCTCAAAGTAAAATGAAAACCAGTGAGCGGAGCAGTATAGTCGGACGGGGCCGAACATATGATATCCTACACAACTACCACGTAACTCGGATGTTTATTCCGAGCCTGGGCTATGTTTCGTGATATTTGCCCCGACTTGCCAGAAAATCTTCTTTACATGTTCCGAATATTACAAAATTTCAGTACAGCTCTTCTACTTACTTGTCCATATTCCCTTCACCGTGGGTTGAGTTGTTCGGCTTATATTCGACTAGAAAACACAAAAAGAAATAAAGTTTTCGGCCCACTTCATCCCAAAATTTTATTCTGATCATCACCGAAAATTATAGGCGTTGTCCTTGACCATAATTGGAACTTCATGGAAAATTTCAAAGCGATCAGCGCTATATTTCCGCCCTCTAATTTGGTAATGGGTTACTAAATAATATCTGAATACGTAAGCACCTGTAAATATTTAAGTGTTACTCCCACATCCGAATAGATACATCAATATATTTGGTATCAATTTAAATGTCAACCACTCCTCTTGGATATACTATCAACTTATCGGGTCTATATCCTTCAGGAGTAAATATATAAGCCATATAATTCAAATTTTGTAATTTTTCACACAAAAGTCAGAGTCCATTTGGCCCGCTAAATAATGACCGATCTTTATCAAAGCAGACATGTTTATTCTTTGGCCCGATCCCCTTCTCCATGTAAAATTTCGCAATGTTCGGGTAATAATTGCGGCCTCTGGAGCGACCAGAAAAACCGACAAAAATTAAGTATTTCGTCCATTTCATCCCCTAAATATTAACCAATTTTTACCAAAAACAATAGGGGCCAGAACCCATCATATATGCAAAATTTCGTGAAGATTGGTCCATAACTGTGGCCTGCATTGTGTTTACAAATTATAATGGACGGACACACATGTCTAGATCGACTCAGCTAGTCGAGATATGACGATCGGTATACTTAACGGTGGATCTAGGACCAATATTTCACGGCATTACAAACTCTTGGGGCTGCAAAAAGCTATAATACCCTGACAACATAGTTGTGTAGGGTATAAAAATAATTCGAAATATAAAATTAAAAAAAAAATTAAATTGAAAAAGATGACAACACTCGCTAAAATATCGGCACCCTAAGGTAGACATTTAAAATACATACAATCAATCAAAAGTTCTATATGGGGGCTATGCCATTGCCAATTTTTGGTATGATGATGAGATATCGAATAAAAACCTAAAATATCCACCTACAGTCAATTTGCTTGAAAACGTTCTGAAATTTTCCTTAATAATCAATAATAGAGTCTAGCGAATTTTTGGTATGATGATGAAATATCGAATAAAAACCTAAAATATCCACCTACAGCCAATTTGCTTGAAAACGTTCTGAAATTTTCCTTAATAATCAATAATAGAGTCTAGCGTTGCACGGAAGGTATTCCGAATCTTGGCCCAATAGTGATATTTTAAGAAGATTTTCTACCCCACCAGGAATCAAAATATAAAATTAATAACAAATTGCGTTGAAATACATGACAATATTCTTTAAAATATCCAAATTGGGGAGGGACGGTTTGTGAGGCCTATCCTAAAAAGTTCAAATATCTTGGTTGGATGAGTTGCTACCCAATGAGAATCCAAAATATCAAATTGCAGCCGATTCGGTAAAAAATCGCCAAACTCTCCAAAATACCGAATATTGAGGGTATTTTAATGTTAGGCTATACCAAAATGTGGACCGATATATCCCATTTTCAATACCAAATGTCCTAGGAGTAGTAGGAATGTATGTGCAAAATTTCAAACTTTGATCTTAGAGGATTTCAAAAGGCAGAAGGATATAACAACTTTAGCTCGCTTATATTTTGTCTAATGATCTTGTCTTTAACCGGAGGATTTAAACCATTGTGTGCTCTAAAAAGGAAGAAATTCGAAGAACAAAATTAAAATTGGCCTCCTTTCCACTCACCCCACACCCATTCATGACATTTAGGTCATGAATCGAATAAAAATTCCAACGTTTTGCAGTCTTCTTAATAATGGGTTTAATAAATAAACGTTTTTTTAAGCAATGGTTTTAACCTACTACTTACACCGTTTACTTCACTCCACTGTGGCATTTTTTACATAGTCCTGATTTATATTAGGCGAGTTTACTTGCGGCAATTTTTATCGTTCTCTTTTGAACTAGCTTCAATCGTCTATACAAGACAATTCGATTTCAAAAATATTTTTTTTTTTTTTTACATTTTGTGACAATGTTCTGGATTGGTATTTCAAATTACTGACACTACAAACAAAATACACAAAACGAATTGAAAGAAAATTGCCGGTACGAGCAATTTTTTCAATTTCTATTCCCCTTGCCCCTCTCTCCTTCAAACAAAGACTTGCCGCAATTAAACTCGCCTAATATGAATTAGGACATATTGTTCGGAAGTATCACTTCTCAAAATACACATAAGTATACCCCTGTAGATTATTATTTTCATTCGATATAATAACAATATTATAAGCTTTCCACGTATATACACACAACATCATTAAACTTATATTTAACAAATTAACTGATGACACCTTAATATCGTATCTTATTATTTATTTAACAAATTCTATACTATTATTCATAACGTTTGCTTAACGGTCTAATTTTTTTTGATAAAAATAACGCTTCATTTGACAAGCAAAAAAAAAAATTCTTACAGAAAACAGGGGAAACAACTTAAGCAAACAATCTTCAAAACACGTTGAATGAAATTACAAATATTTATTATGTTAATGATAATAAAAAAATATTTGTAAACGCTCTGCTGCTGCCAAAAAAACAATTTTTGTGACGACATTTCATTTCACATGAAATCTGTGAATTGACACTAATTTACCTTTATTAGCTGTTTTTAATGAATTAAATCAATTTTTCAATCTTGTTAATGTCGTGGAAGATTTTTTTTTCTTTCGTTTTTAACAAATATTTTAATTGAATTGTATTTGATTCGATTGATTTGCTAATTTGTTAAATAAATAAACAGAATATATACATTTAAATAAGACATAATTGAGATGTGTAAAGTACTAATCATTTGTAGTTTATACTTCCGTTAAGCTGTAATAATTTAATTTCGTAGCACTGTGATTTTTTTTTGGTCTCAGACTATTTACATGATAATATATAATAATTATTAATTCAAAATTTTTTGGGTTCTCTTTAAAATATCGTTTAAAATATTCTCTATAGCAAAATACATCGTACCAACAACAACATTTAAAATTTTGCGTATATATATTTGAATGATTACCAAATAAACGACAAATCGATCAGTTTGACATGTCTAGGGTAAATTATCTGAATTGCTTTCTTTTGTTTAGAATCACAAATAAAATTCAATCGAAATAAGCCTCCGGTAAAATAGCATACATAATTGTAAAAAAACGTGAATTATGTATAAACAAATGAATGTCTGCAACATACAAAAGAATCTTTGCAAATTATTAAAGAAATGGAATGTTATTGAAATGTTGTTGTATTGGAATGTTGTTGAAATTATAAAAAAAACTGTGAGCGGAGCAGTATAGTCGGACGGGCCGACCATATGATACCCTACACAACTACCACGAAAAGCTAACTTTCTGCGCTTTTATATTTAGAGCTTGGCCAATATTTCGTGATATTTGCACCCTTTTTACCGATTATAGGTCAACAACTCCACTTTCTAACCCTGGAATTTTTGCCAAACTTATTTTTCTTGAAGTGAATTTTTACGCCATAAAATAAAAAATTGTGAAGGTCAACAACTGCTCTTGGATATATTGTCAACTTCTCGGGTATATGTCCTTCAGGAGCAAGTATATACGCCCCATAATAACAATTTTGTAATTTTTCACACAAAAGTCAGGGTCTATTTGACCCGCTAAATACTGGCCGATCTTTATCAAAACAGTCATGCTTATTCTTTGACCCGATCCCCATCTCCAAGCAAAAATTCGCGGTGTTTGGGCCATAATTGCGGCCTTTGGAGCGACCAGAAAAAACGACAAAAATTAAGTTTTTCGTCCATTTCATCCCC